CCACAGCCAGGCTGCGTGGGCAGCGCAGGAAGGTCAGAAGAGGCGACGGCCGCCGACTCCACTGCTGCTATCCTCGTTCTGCGGTGACCCATCCTCCTTGCGGGACATATCTCTTCTTATTCTTTTCTTCATTTATACTCTTTAATTTTCCCCTTTTGTTCCTTTCCTTTCAATACAAGTTGTGTTTTATCTATTTTCCAGCTGTCCAGCCAATTCTCTGGGCAGGACAGAAAGAGCCTGGAATCTTCAGATCCCGTGCCGTCCAGTGACAGGGGAAGGGGAACGACATCTACACCATAGCACAAGGAAGAATTACATTCTTGTGTGATCCCTTCAAGCACATTTACAGTCTCCTTTCACACCTCAGTCTTTGCTCAGTTTAGAGCACACCAGGCATGACTCTCAGGTAACCCCAGTAATCGCAACCATGGCACTACAGACAGGAACAGTGGGTGCCGGACCAAAAACGCCTGGGTCCCCAATCTCCTCCTCCAGAAAGTAAGCGGCATCACCTGTTTAACAGGCTGGGTTCCAACTAAATGAGACAACTATGCACTATGTCCTACACAAGACTCTCAGGGGAGGCGGTCAGATACAGCCTCCCCTCCACTGTTTTGTCTTTCAGAGTAATTTTCTGCCCCCACAAGGGTATAATAAATATCACAGGGAAATCAATTTGTCACTATTCTTTTAAAATCATTAACACTCAGATTTGATTAAGGCTAAAATTAGATTTTAGGACTATTTGTGGATTGACTTGCCAACTCTCAGTCTAGTCCCATGTCATATCTAAAAAGCTTGGGCACCGTGGGTCCTTCGGGAAGGACTGGCTGGACAGGTCAGTCCCAGCAACCCCGTTGGTCACCAAACAACAGATGACAGACAGGCCCCCCCGACTCACTCATAGATGAAGGGCCTCAGAGTGTTCTGCTAAGGAATTTAAGATGTTCCATCCATGTAGAAGGCAGAAAAAAATTCTAAAATAAAGATTCTGAATGGCCCGTGGTCAACAACAGGGTGAATATTTAAATAAATTACAATTATAGGTAACTATTTGCAAACAAGTACATGTATAGAATACGATTTACTTCTAAAATATATAAATGGACACATTACATGAAAAAGATGGTACGTCCTCTGTCCACAAGTGTAACTGTGTGCACAGTATGAATGCAAATGGATAAATATGAGACAATATTGAAACATCAAAATACAGCCTTGCCAGGGAGATGGCTCAGCGGCATAAGAGCCTCCTGGCAAGCACAAGGTCCCGAGTACATTCCTCAGTACCAAAAACAAAAGTAATTGCAAGGTTTTCTCTTCATTTTTCTCATATTACATGTTATATTTTCCACTATGGAGTAAAGCTGTCTAGCGATCAGCTTGTGTCTGTATTTCAGAGATGTCAATAATCTAATTCCAGCAAGGTTACACAAGTTATTTTTTCTAGCTTTGTCAATGTGCACAGTGACACTGAAAGAAGTAATTGTTCCAAGTTTTATCCTAGATAAGGATAACTTGTCACAATGCTATTTAAGAGAAGATAACCTTTATCAATGTGGAACAAACGTCAAGACAAACATCAAAGAAATTATAGAAGGCTATTTTTCTTCAATTCTTAATTTGATTTAGTTCTTTTCTTGGTTTCATCTGCTGGTGACAGGCATGCATGGAACCCTTGATATTGTTTTTTTTGGTGGGAGGGGCAGAACCAGGGATTGAACTCAGGCCCTTCCACTTGCCAGGGAGCACTTATTCTACTAAGCCATTTCCCCGCCCCCTTCCTTGATTTTGTTTTGCAAATTTAATGGAAGATGGGTTAGGGAAATTGGAAGACATGGGAAACAAATATATATGGGTACTGGAGATTGAATCTGGGACCTTGCACTTGCCAGGCAGGTGCTTATGCCATATAGATAATCCAAAAAGCATACTAAATAATATTTAAGGAATTTTTTTAAAACTTCCATTTTATAATGGCTTTGTAGAATTACTAAAACATTACTTATGGGAGGCTGAGGCAGGAGGATTGCAAGCTCAAGGTCAACCTGGGCAACTTAGTGAGATGCCATCTCAAAATTTTAAAAAGGGCTAGGTCTGCACCTCAGTATCCCCCAGTTAAATACCCAGACCATAAGTAAAACAAAATGACTATATTAAATATTTTAAGAAATTTTTCTAATATAGAAAATAATAAAGAAGGAAATACAACTTACCCATGATCCATTAATTCAGATAAAACATCCATGTCTGATGTACTTTTACGAGTTTCTCTCCATACAAACATTTAATGAAATATTAAGATGTACATACATGGCCTGCAAATAACATGACCTTAAAACTCCACATTTGGAATCCAGTAGAAGGTGGTCTGGGGCAGTAAGAGTAGTGGACAGCACCGGGAGGCATTCTTTGGGGTTTAAGTCTACCATGAAGTAGTAGAAGTCTCGTCAGATTTTGTTGGAAGAGAAATCAGATTTGGAAACTCTTGAGCAGTTAACATTCAGATTTCCAAAGCCAGAAATCTCAATTATAGAATTTTCCAATAGCCCACAGAGCAGAGAAGGCTGAGCTTAGAATGCCTTGTATTCCATACGTGGGAGAAAGAATGGGCCAAGGTGAGAGCCAAGGGCATCCCCAGAAGGAGGACGCTGCCCTGGGAAAGACACTGTGAAAGAAAGAGTCCAACTGGGACAGATAGGGTGGCTGAGGGTCGGGGGTGCACAGTTCCACTGGCAACTGACCCAGCAACATCAAATCAGGCCCGACTGGACCAGGAGAACAGGCTGGAAGAGGCCAAGAGACTGCCCTGCCCCATGAGGGGGACCCTTTCTCCAGAAATAAAGAGGGTACTTTATCTTTGTAACACGATTTGTGTGGTGAATAAATTTGTAACTTTCTAAAGTAAACATGCTGCCCTTGTTTACTTCATTTTAATGTGTTTTCAATTGGAATCATGATACACATTTTCATTACTGATTTGTTTCCCTTAAAATAATCCAACTCCTTTGCCACACCACGATCTGAAAGGCCAATGTGTCCTTTAATGTAGCTGCTCCTTATGCTGAGTGGAAACTGGTGTGACTAGGTAAACAATTACTAAGGCAATGATTACTAAGATAAACATTACAGACGATCAATAAGCTTGTGACATTTTTCAATCTCACAACTAATTACAGAAATGCAAATTAGAAGAACCATTAGATGCTTCTTCACCTCCCTCGCAAGTTAGCCAAAGTTTGCAGCACGATGAGGTTGGCAAGGGTTCAATGAAAGTGAAAGTGAGCAGTCACATACACCACGGCCCAAGAGTATAAATTAGGAAGACTTTTTTCAGGCCATTTGATAATATGTTCCCAAAGTCTTTAAAAGACCACTCATGTGTGGCAATACTCGGGAACCCCTGATCATGTTCTCAACAAGGAATCGCTCTCTGAATAATAATTAAGAGCTGATCTACTGTCACACATATAAAACTTGCACATTTCTGTATCACTTATGTTAGATCCACCATCTGCTAATTACTTGATTCTGGTGGGCCAAAAGGGCAAAAGATTAAGAGGCCATCTGATGGGTACGGAGGATGTCCCCTTGCCAACTGCAGGCTGAAACCAAAAGCAATCTCCAGGGTCTGACCCCAAAGCCTGAATGTGACACCCACTGCCACCTGCTGACCCCTGAAATGAGCACATACACAGTCACCCATAGGATGCAACCTATATTACAACCTTTATGGGGCAAGAGGCTTAGGTCACTTGAGTCAGATTCCCCCAGGCAGGACCTAGAAGATCCACTGCACAGCTCGGAGGGCCAGGTGGCGCAGGGGACAGACGTGCTGGCTAGAAGCAGCACATTGCAGTGGCAGCCCCAGCCTGAGCCCAATGTTGGAGGATTCCTTATCTGGCTGGCATGAGGAACTGGGCAAGCCGGACTCCTAAGTGACTCATCAAAAGCAGACATGGACAGAGAAGGCCTGATTCCTGGCCACACGCAGCTTGACAATAATCATCATGGAGGGAAAATACCTGTGTGGCCCTTTTGCACAACATAACATTTTTATTTTTAAAGAAGAAGTATCATTTCTAATGCAAGAACAGTCAGCTCTGCAAATCTGGCTCTATGCTGGAGGACAGCTCTTGTCACTGAAAAGCATTATACAGCTTTTCAGACTGCAGAGGCTGGAGGATGCACATGGTCGCTTTTAGAGGAAGAATTAATGTGAGGGCTCGTTCTTAGGCCAAAACCTTGCATTTAGCGAAAGCCGAGCAGCTGCAGTATTGAATACACGTCTGAAGCTGAAGCAGACGAAGCCTGCAGACAGATCTATCAAGGAAGGATTAACAGGGAATGGAGGTGCAGATGCACTTACCCTGAGGTCCTGACCCTTCCTCACAGCTCGGCGCTGTTTTTGTAACATTCATGGCACGGTGAATTCAGTCTCCAGCCTAGAGACAGTTCACTCTACTCATCTCCTGATGTGCATTTATCTCGAAACCACCACCGCCAAGTGTAAACTTGAGTTCTTTAGGACTGTGTGCGAGTGCACACTGGGGCCCCTGCCCCGCTCCCAACAGGACCCCGTTCCAAGGTTGAGAATTATGTAAGAGTAACAGCTTTTGGTCTGGCACACCTGGGTCTGTTTTAAATTCTTAGCTCTCTGGAGTCCAGGGAATAATGGGAACCAACTTTGTCCCCAAGGACTCACATAATCCGGATCTCCTGAAAGAGAGGAAGCATGAATCCCCCTCACCGGACCCTCAAAGGCAGCAAAGATCAATTTAACCAAGTTCACCAGCTCACCAACTCCCCCCTATCTCTATTCACAATCCCCCCTATCTCTATTCATCAAGGGGGCAGAACACCTTCCTAACTCCTTCTGCCCTTTCACGTTCTGCCTCCTCCTGGCACTTACACCTCCTGTGAATTCCCAGCCCGCCCGCAGGACAAGCGGCTGTCATTCTCTCTCTGCCTAAAATAGCTGCAAACGGCAAACAGAGCAGGCCATGACAGCTTCCCTCAGCAACGCTGAAGTTCTCAGCACTGCAATCAAGCACCATTTGTATGACCCCTATCGCGTAAGTAATGTGTGTAGAATATTAAATACAGGGAGGATTTTTCCAAGATTTCTAAAATTAGATTTAACAATCAGCAATAAGTGTCTGATCATGGAGCAGCATACTTATACCAGGCTGCAATGCTTCGAGAATTTGGGGAGGAGGAGTCCTATGTGGAAATGACAGTAAGAAGCCCAAACTTAATATGGAATAGACAGCTACCTCCTCCCCCATTCCCTCCATTCTAGGAACTGAACCCAGGGCCTTTCCAGAGAGTTACATCCCCTTTCATTTTGACAGAGGGTCTCACTAACTTACTAAACTGCCCAGGCTGGGCTCAAATCTACCATCTTCCTTTCTCAGCTCCCCACAGAGCTGGGATTACGCCCTGTGCACCACACCCAGATGCATCCACCTCCTTGACACCAGAGTCACACATAAGACAATTTTCTCCTATGGTTTTCTTAAAAACTACCTCTGGTTTACAAAGTAGCATGGATGGATGACAACTCCAAGCTTCCCAAGTGAAAAGGCAGCTGTAATTAAATTCCTACTCCTGAGAAATAATGATGTAAAGAATACGATTCCATAGCAAAGAAAAACAGTATTTTCAAATACAGAGCTCAGAGAGACACGTATTTTGTCCCTCTCCTCTTGCATCGCTGTTTCTCAGCCTCAGTTCTACCCACATTTGGGGCCACATAACTTGCTGCTGCGGGGCATGGTCCTGCGTGGTGCAGGACCATTAGCACCACCCAAGGCCTTGACCCACTAGATGCCAACCAGCAGATGCTGTCAGTCATTGTCACAAGGCCTGGATCTGATGCCCATGGCTGTCCCTGGTGTCTCACAGCTGAGCACCTCCTGGTGTAGGAACACCATCCAATGAGCGCTCTCCCTCGCCCCAACCCAGGAGTGCCAAAAACGAAGTCACGCATGATCTTTTCAATCAGAGACTGACCCTCTTCCCCCAAACACTTCTTCCCTTTCTCATATCTTCTACACAGATCAGCAAACCTTACCGAGAACTTCAGGGCCAGAAGGAATCTCAAGTTAAGTGTGGAAAAGCAAGGGTAAGACACTAGAACTTAGACAGGACTCCTCTCTTTATTCTATGGTGCTTTAAAATCACTAATTCCTAGCAACATCTTCCTAGCATGATAGCCAGAGACTGGCTACAGACCAAGACCCTGGATACAACCATGTCCTGCAGACCACGGAACTGGTTCCCAGGGCTCAGGAGAGAAAAGGAAATTAAATCATTTAATCTGAATGTTCCCATTTCTCTAATCTACAGTTTTGGTGAACCCTGCAAAGATCACAGCTACTTTTCCACACAAAAGGGGGTTGTTCTGGCCTGCATCTAGATGTCCCACAAAGCCTCCTGTGGTCACAGGTAGGGCAGCTGGGATGGCTGGATCTAGAATGTGTGATGCTAGGATTGACTTATGGTGCCCTGCTGGGTTCAAGAGCACAAAGATTAAGGGTGCGAGTGCTACCCCCGCAAGTACCCTGGATAAGATACAAGGGCTACAAAGAGCTGCAGCTCTCCCTTGCTGGCTTCTGCTGTGCTGCCTTCTGCCTGCGTGTTTCTCCTCTGCGGTGCCTGCCGGTCTTCAACGCCACCCTGTGCTGGAGCTGGCGATAGTGGACCGAAGCCTCTACAACTTGAACTAAATAAACCTTTCCTCTAATTTTGGGCATTAGGTGTTCTATGTCAGCAGTGAGAAGAGTAACTTAGGCAAGGATACATTTAAAACTGCACACATGCACCATGTTCTACCAAGTGCATCAACCATATATATCTCTTATCATCTAAGAACACTGGTACAAGGTAGTCACTTTGTGTCAGTTCCATAACACGGTGTACAAGAAAGATCAACTGGGTTTGAATCCTGGCAGCACCCACGACCCTCCCAGTGACCCAGGCATCTTCCTGAGCGCCACGCCTTCTCTGTTAAGTGGGGGTGGGAACAATAAACACTATGCAAAACAGCAACAGCCCGGTGAGAACTCTCAGACTGAAATCTACATACACTGCGGTCTGCATCGCTAGCTAGAATCATAGCGATCACTTTTATTTGAATTATTCTCTCAGTCCATGCCCAAGAAGCTGTCTGTCAGGCTTTCTTAAAACATTTACCTTCCAATAAAGTCAGCTGTCCAACATGGCAGCCTCCGGAGCACACAGCACCTGAGCACATGAAACGCCGCTCGCCCCAATGAAGACGTATCCAGTATGTGTAAAATGAAAAGATTTAATATGAAAAGGAATGTAAAACGTTGTAACTTATAACATGAATTATATGTTGAAATTAAAATTATTCTGGATGAAGTTAAAATTAATTCAATTATTACTTTCAGCGTGACCAGTAGGAAGTTTTTAATTATATACATGTCTTGCACTGCACTTCCACTGGCCCGTGCTAACGCAACCCAGCCTCCTCCCAGCCCTAATGTCATACTTGGTTCAAATTAAGAAAACCTTTAAAGAGACTAGGCATCATTGCATATGCCTATAATCCCCACGCTTGGGAGGCTGAAAACAGGAGGATCGCTACAAGTCCAATCTGTATAATGAGACCCTGTAGACCCTGAACTAAATACATAAGAAAAAGAAAACCTTTAAAGAACTCTTGCCGGGGCTGGTGAGATGGCTCAGTAGTCTAAAGCACCTACTTAGAACAAGCTTAGCAAAGCACAGGGACCACAGTTCAATCCCCCAGCACCACATGCCAGCCAGCCCCGCCCCCCGGTGAGCTGAGCTCCCCCACACACAAATAAATAAAATTTTTTAAAAAAAGAACTCTTGTCTATTTCTTATTGTAGTTAATGGCAGAGAATAAGCTTAACCCCCTATACCACAAGTTTGTATATAAACCGCAAAAAACTGTCAGCAAAGCCAGATTACCAGCAAGGTTTTAGACCCAAGACTCTGAATCTGATCTCATGCGACTCTCCAATGCCTGCCAGGCACTTTCACCTGCCAGGTCTTATTTTCAAATAGGCCAAGAAACAGCCAAGGAATGGAAGAAAAGTCAGTGTCCTGGTTTGGACTCCAGCTTGCCCAGCTTCCCCACTTGACCTTGGGCAAGTTACTTCACCATGTATCACCTCTATCGCCTCATTTGTAAAATGATGCTCACAACAGGGCATTGCTTTTAGGAACACGGTGAAGATGAAGACATCACAGTACCGAGCACATACTGAGCACTCAGAAGACAACAGCTAAAACCTAATGTCCTTACACTGGAAAGAGAAGCGCTGAAGGAGCTCAGGCTATTTAGCTCAAATCACGTAAATCCTATGCACAGCACCAAAAACATCCAAGCAAAAGGAGTATCTTAACCATCACAGTAAGAACATTTATCACAGGACCTCTCTTCTAAAAGCTTTTAATGTATAGGTACAATGTTGCGCAGCAGGTATCCAGAAACTTCCTGGACTAACACAAGCGTTGCACCTACTGACTAACAAGCCCTGCCCCCTAAGGGTGGGTTGTTTTGTTTGTTTTAGGTGTTCATGCTAGAGACCCCTCAGGACCTCGCCAACACTGGTCACATGCGCTACCACTGAGCTGAACCTTCGGCTCCCCAAATTATGCTTCAATATCCTCTGCCTGGGTCCTGTTTGAGCAACCAAGGGGTGATAGGGCAAGCAGTTTTGGACACAGAGTGATTTAGGGACTGTGACTGCTAATCTTGATTGTCCATTTGACTGGATTAAGAGCTGACTCCAGGGAGCACTGCACTGTCAAGTGTCAACCCCATCCCAGGGTTACCCCACTGAGGAGTTCAGAGCTGAATGGGCTATAGGAAGCAGGTCCCTGGAGTGACTTGGAAGGAACTTCTCTCTGGTTCTTTCCCTCTTATTCTACCTCCTGGCTGCCTCGAGGTAAGCAGCTTCCACCCACTGAGCCTTTCCAGACATTTCTGTATTGGAGCCCATCTTGGACTTAAACTGGGAGCCAAGATACACTTTTCCTGCTCCATGTTGTGCATGTCACGTATGGGGGCCCAGCCACCAAAAGACCTTGTCCTACTTCTCGCCTTAACTTAAATCAGGTTGACTGCGTACACAACTGCGTGCTGTACCCTCTCATGGATAAACCACAGATGGGCTAAAAGGAGTCATTGTCCCACATTCCCACCAAGAGGGGACCTCATTATTATGTCCCATCAGTACATGAAGTGACAGTGAGTCATGACATGGAAGCAGCAACAACTACCTTCAGTATTTCAACAGTTATCTCTGTAATCAAGGGGATGATTCCAGCTCCCACAACATGACCACCGAAAATCTGGATGTTTAGGTCCCTCATATAACATGGCAGGGCATTTAGATAAGATTACCTACACCCTTCTCTAGATTACAGTCATCTGTAGAGTCCTTACAATACCTAGCATGGCAAAGTGCCATGTGAACAGTGTGATATATGGTATTGATTCATAACAACAGGGGCAAATGACTACATGTGTAAGAGAGGTGTAAATTTTAATATTTTCAATCTGTAGCTGTTTGACTCCCAGGATAAAAAAGCCATGGACAGAAAGGGCTGACTATACTGCACCGTCCTCTGGTCACACTCAGACACAGCTGAAATCTACCTCTGCTCCCAGAGAGCAAAAGTACTCGTGGTTACATTGCAGCAAGCTGCTAGCTCCACCACCCACACCAGCCTGCTACCAGGAAGCCATACCATGGAATGTGGCAGGTATGCCAGCCTCTATTGGGTCTGCTAGTAAAGAATTTCAACCCAAAGATTGCCAACTATGCTAAAATCTAATGAAGAGAAACCAGCCAAATAGCTCAGCGGATTAAAGTGCCTGCAAGAAGGCACAAGGGGTGGGGGGCTCCATTCCCTACCACCACACCGCTGGCCCCACCTCCGGGGCAAGCTGAGACTGCAATTGAGACTGGGCGTGGTGGTGCGTGCCTGTAATCCTAGCTCTTGGGAGGCTGTAAACAGGTGGATCACTAGGAGTCTGATCTAGTAGTGAGACCCTGAACACCCTGTAGATCCTTCCCTAAAATGCAAAAAAATTAAAATAAAATAAAATCCGATGAAGAAATGCTTTCTTTTCCATCATTCTAGCCACCCTCTCTCACTGATAACAAATGAGTAGGCAAAACCCCACAGCTTATAGAAATAAACATCACAAAATCACCTAGGGCTACAGCAAGGAAAAAGACTTAATGAACCTTATTTGGGGGTTAAGTTAAAATTCATAACCATACCATGAAATTCAATATGCTATAAAACTAATGGTAGACACTTAAATTTTATTTCAAAAAGAAAACCCTACTGATAACAGTGAAGGAGAGACAGAAGGAGTATAAGCCTATAATAAGAAATATGTTATCAGAATAATTCAGTTTTCCATGCCCTTTGGCTTTCTCTAAAATGTTTTTCTGAAGTAAGCCAAAAATAAGAGCTGCGTTTCAGGTTTTATTAATTTTCTTAGATTTTAATTTAGCTGTAAAATAATCCTTTATGGTCCCATCCACCCCCCCCCCAAAAAAAGTTAACCTTTTCAGTGGTCTTTTCTGTACAGATAAAGATAAGGCTGCTGAAATGGTAAGAGGCAGGCTGCCTCCAGCAAGGGCACGGAAGGCCTAGGGGCTGCTCAGCTGGCCTTCCAGGTCCCTGTGAAGAAGCAAGGGAGCACCTCTCTAGGGAACGAGATGGGATGCCTCTGTCCCTGGCCCTGGCTCTCTGCCTGTCTGTCTGTCTCCCAATAACCTTCTTCTCCCTCGCTCCCCTCTTAAAATGAAACTGGTCCACAGCTGGGCAGAGTGGTGCAGGCCACAGTGTTCCTCGGGCTGCTGCTTCTATTTTCCCAACTCCTACATTTACAAGATAGTGCTTTAAGAATGAATGATTTGGGGCCGGGGAAATGGCTCGGTGGAATAAGCACTTCCCTGTAAAGTGCAAGGGCCTGAGTTCAATCCCCAGTTCCACAAAAAAAAAAAAAAAAAACTGAAAAACAAATTGTTGGGGTCAGGGAGACGGCTCAGTGGAATAAGCACTTCCATGGCAAGCGCAAGGGCCTGAGTTCAATCCCTGGTTCAGCCAAAAAAAAAAAAAAAAAAGGTTTCTCCCACATCCTCCATCTATTTGTTTATGCAATTATTCCTATCATCATGATTCCTGCTTATTCACTTTTAGGAATTATAATCCAATCCTATTAATGCAAAAACTTTTAATCCTCATAATTCTTTTTTTTTGGTCTTTATTATTTTAATTTATTTTGAAGATAGTATAATAATCAATAAGACATTAGGAATGGTACACATTTAGAAGACCAAGATGAGAGGCATTCAAGCATGAGTTTTATATTACACATTGCTGTCTTCCACAATCCTCATAATTCTAATACTACTGGCATTGTACAGATTGGGAAATGAAGCAGAGATTTTTACACCCCTAAGGTCACTCAGTTGGTCAGTGGCTGAGATGCAAAGCCAGTCTGACAGACTTACAAGTTCCTAAGTAGCAAAGGATAGAGCCACAAAGGTAAATAAGGGGATATCATCAATTACTGAAGAGCAAAATGTGATCCCCCAACTCAGTAGGCCCATATTAGGATATAAAAAACCCAAATATATGAAGCTCTTTGTCTTAACTAGCAGAATTATTTTGAAGTTACTTGTTGTCTCCCCAGACAAGCACCATGAACGGCAGCATGCCCCAGCCCCACAGGAAACAGAACCCAACTGACCAAACATACCAGCAGCACTTCGCAAGGTACTGCCAACACCAATAAATGGCAACATTAGTGATCTCAAAGGAGCTTACAAAATTAAGCTACTTCAGGGGTTATTCAACTTTAACAAGTATTCACTTTCCAACTCCTAAATCTGCTTTCATCTGCAATTTATTGGGGCTGTTTAAATGACAGGGGCTCTAACTCTGCGTCTGCTCAGTAAGAATGATTCAGATTTTAATTTAAACACAAGCAATACTTTCTCCAAGGGAGTAACTCACTTTTGTGTACTCACAATCATGCCTGATTTCCCTTCTGGTTTTCAACATCACTGGCAAAATTCATAATTCATAATTATTATTTTACTGTAATAGGTGCTCAGCATTTGATGTGCCCTTCTCAGCTCCAAAGGTCTATCGCATGCTTGCACTTTAGTTGAATCGACATGAGACTGCAGTTTCTTTACAAATGAGCCACGCACATTATTTTGTACCAGGTGCTTCAGACTGCTCCCCTAGGACGAACTTTTACAACAGGATTTATTGCCTGCCAACACTGAACCGACGTCCTCTGTCCCCCAGAGCTCACAACCCTACCCTCGCACAAGGTCTTCGTGCTTGTTATCAATAATACAGTGCTTGATGCAGAAAACAACTTTTACTTTAAGTTGAAAGAAAACACTGAAGCCAGCAGTACACTGGCTCCTACTGAACACTCTCCCACTTTCTCACACATGTCCAGCCATGCATGCGGCCAGTCGTGTAACTGGAAGTGACTACTGAATGGATCTTCTCTCATGTGTATCCCACTAAGAAAATGAGCCTCCCTGCTCTCACAGCAGACATATAGCCAGGAACCCACCTAAATATCGAAGTGCGTTCAAACGGCCTGTGCCAAACAAGTTCCTGTGGCCCCAAGCGCCCAGACGCTACACACACTGCCTTGTCTAACGGACAGCAAGTGTCTTCCAGTAACAAAACTCTCTGTGAGGTCCTTAGGTTCAGACAGGCCCTCCCAGACCACCTGGGAGGTCACGATTGTGAGCAACGAACAGTTTCTGAGAAGGTGCGAAGCACAAGGCACTGTTCAAAGCAGCACGAGTACCTTCCTTGGTCAGTCCTCAAGTGGGCCAGGAGGGGGGCACACCTTATGACCCCAGTATTCTGAGCAGGAGGATGCTGAGTTTAAGGCCAGGCTGGGGAAATTAGCAATTTACCAAGACCCAGTCTCAATCTTTAATAAAGGGCCAAGCCTCTGGACTGCCTCAGTCCTGCAAACAAACAACTTGTGAAGTCCCTGACTCAGTGTCATACATCGACAGAGAGGTCAGGACTGAGTCTTGGCAGGCTGGGGCGGGCCTCGCATGCTCATGCCCTATTCACACCGCCATCGAATAACCCACGTCCCCTCCAAGACAGACGGGCCTCTGCCTCCATGTGGCAAGGACGCCAGCAGGACCCTCGCTGCTGCCCCCTCTGTCCTCCACACGCCCCAGCAGAGTCCGTTCCCACCCTCCAGGCTTTGCCAGGGTCACAGAGGTGTGGCTCGTAGGAACAACAACTGTCCACAGAAAGGTCATTTTCATGCAACCCCAACTCAGATGCTTCAAGGAAGCAAATGCTAGGTGGCCTTTCTTCACCACCTGCACCTTGCTTCTTGCAGCTGAGCCAAGCGGAGACTGCAAGGCCGCTCTTCTTCTAACACAGACTGACTAGGCGCCTGCTCCGCACCAGCACACAAAGCCAGTCTCTGCCTCCACCAGGCTGTGCATTCTGGAGGAGGAGAAAGGCCATGTGACAACTGCGCCAGGCAGGTGCTAACTGAACAATGAAACAAGGTGAGGATGGAGATGATGGGGGGGTGGGAGAAGGAAGCACCAGGAAGCCTGCTGGTGGGAACCTAGAAAGCGACGTGTGCGGGCGGTGTGAGCAGTGAGGTCTGAAGTTCCTCAGTGACTGGCTCACACAGAGCCTGAAGGCCACGGACAGTGGATTTTAGTGTAGGGACAGTGGAAACCCACAGACGCTTAACAGCTCCACAACCCGACAGAACCACCGAACAATTCATACTGGACGAATGCAGGGTGCGGCCGGCAGCAGAAGTGGGTGGGAACAAGAGAAAGGTGAAATGACTGATGTGCAAGACTACCAATGGTGGGGGAAGTGGGAGACACGGTTGGGCCACATTTGGAAGCAAACTCCTCCAGGAAATTAGGAGCCATCGAGGAGGATCACAGAAGAAATCGAAAAATTATTTCAGAGTTGGAAAATAAGCATCACAATCCAGATGTTGGGCTACGATGTAATGACGCGCATGCCACTTCTTTCTTGGCATAAAAAATAATACAGGCCGGGGGTGTGGTTTAGATGGCATGAAGAATACACTATGGCTCACATTTTTATCCTGATTTTATTAACTGAGTGACTATCTTGAACCCAAGTGTCACCCAAGATTGGTCACCTGACACCAGGTGTTACACTAAGGAGAGAAAGTACATGCTCCCTTGTACTTTGCTGAAACTAGAATCACTCCATTCTTCTCTTGCCACTCCCCCACCCCAGGATTGTCAGGAGACAGGAGAGATGAGGAAGGGAAGGGAGGAAGAGGGCAGACACCTGGCAGGAGGCCGCTCCATCCCAGCCAGGGTGACAGGAGAAGAGCCAGCAGCCGGGGAAGGCTCAGGGGACACCCCCAGATCTTATCAGGTGTCACATTTGGAGACTTTGGTGCCAGAACGCAGCCAGTTGCCTTAACAACAGTATCTCTATCCAAGGTGATAAATTACCCTGCTGTCTAACAAATTCAGTTCATTTCTTAAACAATCACTGTTCTGGAAATAATATGAGAACAAGCAAATACCAACCAGTGGACAGTGGGGGCAAATCAATCACGAGATCTGCTCCAAAACCTACAGCTGGGAAAGTGCTGGAGACTGCAGCTGGGGACAAGGAAGGAGGATTCATAAGACAGACGAAGTACTTCAAACTTCAAATTAAACATTAAAAGGAGTAATAGGAAAACATTTCAAAATTCTGCATCTCTTTCTCATCATTATAATTCACTACATTATTCTCATTTCCTCCTCATTTTACCCTACTTTGTAGAAACCAACATTTATTAATAATATGATTTATGTTCATGCCTGTTCCGCTAGGTTTTAAGCTGCTTAACTTCAAAGGCTTTTTCTCCAGAACTGGAATGCCACCAGGAACATTATGGACTTGCAAACACATTTATCAAATGAATAAATTATTTTCTCTCCTACAGTTCTAAAAGCTATTAGTCAAGTAATACATAAACACATAACACACATATGTATCCCATGCCTAATAAAGGTGGAAGTATTTTCCAGCAAAAATAGAAGAATTATCACAACTACCACTACTACTGAAAATAATTTTTCTACCTTTTTGGAAGGGAAAGGGCGCTGGGAGTGGCTAAGATCAAGAAGGGGTTTTTGTTTTATTTTTGTTCTGTTTTGAGTCAGGGTCTCACTAGGCAGTTCAGCCTGACTTTGGACTCACTATGTAGCCAGGCTGGCCTCAAACTCCCAGCAGTGTTCCTGCCTCTTCCTCCTGTGTGCTGGCCACACCGGTGACTGTGATCAAGAAGGGAGGGAACTGAGGCCCTTATTTTCATACCCAACATTCACAGCAAGCTTTCAGTGCTGCCCCTCACGGACACAGGCCTGCAGCTGCTGTCCAAGCAGCGCCTCCTACAGTGCGCTGACCCCTATCCGGGCTGTAGCAAGCCCCTGTGAAAATACCCACTTTGGGGTTCCTCTAAAAATAAAATAATTTGGACATAATCATTAGAAGAAAACTGTTAAAAAACAAAAATGAAGAGATAAAATGATCATTCCTTGCAACCAGAATTAGACAGCTGGAACAACCCCCCCCAAAAAAAAAAAAAATAAAGAGAAAAACAAAAACAGTATGAAAATTTATTTAAGATTTGTGGAAATAAATTTAACTCATAGAAAATAATAGCCTCCTAGTTTTCAAGTCACCCAATTAAGTAGAAAATATAATGAAACAGTCTCATTTTCCTTTTCTTGAGACAGGGTCTCACAACGTAGTGCAGGTTGGCCTTGAACTCGCTTCTGTAGTCCAGGCTGGCCTCAAATGCACAGCAACCCTCCTGCCTCAGCCTCCTAAGTGCTGGGACTGTAGGCATGTGCCACCACCAGCCAGCAAAAGTTTCATTTTCAAAAACAAAACAAAACAAAACAAAACAAAAAAAAGAAAAGAAATAAAATACCTAACAATTAAAGAAACATGTAGGTTCCATAAGCTTTCAAATGCTCTTTCGGGACACAAAAGAACACCCAGGCTGAGCGATGTCTACACTTTCATTTTAGATGTCAGTTCTTCACTAATGCAATCCTATAAAATGCCAACAGGATTACTGTGGCTCCTCTGCTTGTAAGAACTAAACAAACAACAGTAAAGTTCTCATGGAGAAACCCCTGCCCAAGCATGGCGGGAGAACAGAAAGACTCAGGTCCATCCGGTGTGCTGGCCTTGCCAGAGAGCTTAAGTGACAGCATTGGAAACGCTGCCTTTGCAGTCCACGAACAGAACAAATCAATAAGGAAGAACAGCCAAGACAGACAGAAGCTGAACACTCAGTATACAACTTAGAGCACTGCCCCAGCTGGATCTGGAAGGTCCCCCCAAGGGCCATGGCAGAAGGACTGGTCTCCAGGATGGCCTACTGGAGGGCTGCAAGTGTTAAGAAGTGGGGCCTCGTAGTGGCAGGGTTTAGGGGTTATATATTTACATAAATATATAAATTTACTAAAATTGGTGATGGAGGATCAGTGAGATAGCTCAGCAGACTAAACTCCTGCTTAGGCAAGTGCAAGGACCGGGGTTCAATCTCCCCACACCACATGCTGTGCCAGCCCCACCCCCTGGCATACTGAGCCGGCCACCAAGACCTGGCATGGTGGGGCACACTTGTAATCCCAGTGCTGGGGAGGCTGAAAGCAGGAGGATCACTACGAGTCTGAGCTGCGTAGTGAGGCCCTGTACCAAATACATAAATTTAAAAACTAATAATAAAATAAAATTGGTGGTGGGAGTGTACAGCTCAGTGTAGCATGTATACGTAGAATACACAAAGTCCTGGGTCTCCAGCACCAGGAAGAAAAAGAGAAATCACTAAAATTCATTGAAATGTAAACTTAAAGGAGTGAATCATATGCTATGTAATATTTCTCAACACATTTTTAAAAAGGAAATCAGAAAGTATTTGAAAACATGGTTGATTTTCAAAATCTTAGTCCCAGAAATGAAAAGAACTTTTATAATATGAAAGTCCACATCTCTAAAGAAAACACTGGCAATCTGACAACGGAAGGCATAATGTGTCTGGATAAGTCTCCACACAGTGGCCCACGACATCAAATTCCAGTTCCTGAATCACCTCCATCAATATATCCCAAACATAGAGTTTTACACCACTGTCATACCTCAGAAGTTGGTTTACAACTGTTTTAGAACCTCGCATGAAAAAGGCGTGTACTTAGGAAATATGACCACTCTGACTTATGCACCCACAGGTTAGCAAATGCTCCATGAGATGCTTTACTGTGGAACTTTCCTGCCATTGAGAAAGCCTGCCCTCTTCTCATCTCCTGCATGTGAAGCTGATGGACGTCCACTCCAGAGGCGTGCTAGAACAGCTACACAACAAGAAAAAGGAAGAACAGCATATCAAAGAGACAGCTAATTTTATGTTAAAGATAAAAATCTGCACTAAAATAATGCAACTTTTCTGTCTTCCAAAATGTGGGGCACAAGTTTTTATGAATCTTATTTCATCCCTACTAAAGCGCCAGTATGTACCATATACTATCAGTTTAATATTGAAATATTTCCAATATAAGGAATAAGAAATACATAAGGAATCACTCTGAAAATAACAACCTCTTTCACACACCTACTTTGACATTTTATCCTGGCACTGGAGAGAATATCATCAAAGAATGAAAGTAGCTAGAGCGAAGAATAATCTTCCGAAAGAAATTCTATGTCTTCTTCACTGTGACATCAAGTTCAGTTTTAAAGACACCATGCTGGTGATCCAGCCTGACACTTTCATTTCACAGGTGGGGACAAAGGCCATGTGGCTGCCCAAGAATCTCTCTGCAGCTCGCTGTCTCACAGGCGGCCCAGCCCCATACAAGGGTCTCTACCCGGCCTTGTGGCCTACACAATTACTCATTTATTAGCTCTTGCACATGCAGGGTTTTTCTTCCCTTTAAATTGGCATGTACAATGAGGTGTTTAATATAAATCAAGGCTACACAAATTAACACTGGTGTCGCCTTTAACAGCAGCTACAACCTGGAAATTGCACATAATAAAGAAGCTGTGGCCTTTCCATGAGCATTCTTCTGGCCCTGTAACTACCTAAAAACGGAATGGAAAATGGAACAAGGGAGGGGACCAGGAGCCAGTCCATGTGGCTTTGTGTGTGCCTGCTTAGGAGAGAGGGCTCCAGGGTGAGACCTCATAGGCTCCCAGGACAGCTGGCTCCTTCGGGCAAGAGCCTGAGCAGATGCATTGGGCCTTATCTGCCTACATCCTTATTGGCTAAATGGGAATGAAATTTACTTGAGAACATAGGGAGTTGTTGTTACAGTTTATGTCTAGATGTCCCCCAAAGCCTCATGCAGGCTTAGGCTTTTTCAGAGGTGGCTATTCTAGAGTGTGTGATGCTGGGATTAAGGATGTATGATTGCTAAATTAGTTCACTGGTCAGTTTGTCATGGTCCTAATCCTAGCAGTGTAGCTACAACATAGAAGGTACAGAAAGATGCTGTTAAAGGCTCCTGTTGCTTCTGTTATCTTCACCCACCATGAACTGTTGCCCTCTGCCACACCACCATGCCTTGCAGTTAATTGATTAAGGGCAGAAACCTTACAAACTGTGAGTTAAATAAACCCTTCCTCCTTTCCCTTTGGCTATTGGATATTTTGTCTCAGCAATGGGAGAGAAGCAACTAAGAATTTGGTACCAGAAAAATGGAGTCAATGTTCTAACTATACCTGATTGTGTAGTTGAGAAGCCAAATGATTCAAAGATACAAGCTGAAAAAGCAGAGTTGGAACCCTGAGGCTGTCCTCTATGGGAGATTGTGTTTAGAGCTCAGAAGACCAGACCTAATAGAAATCCTGCCAGTAAAGACCAGCATCCGAAGATTTCTGGTAAGAAGAAGGACTTTATTAGTTGTTGGACTCCAGATGATGTGTGTTATGCCTTGGGAAAAAGCTTGCCTACATTTTGCTCATGTCCACAGACTTTGTCTAAAACTAAGACTAAGGGCGGAGGATTAATCATGCAGAAAAAATTGCAAGGCAGTCTAATGCTGAGGCTATGGCACAGCTACTGTTGGGAGCTTTTAGCCAGGTCTATGTTGGGAACCAAGAACAAAGAACTCAACGGAATGACTTAAAACATTTTCAATTTGGCCAGAAAGGAAACACCATAAAATTGTAGACTGCAAAGATAGAGCAGAGGACATCTTGATTGCTGAGAAAACTAGAGAATATGGCTAAGGGCATCACAAGATTCAGCAGGAGTCCATTCTTTGCAGCCTCAATACTGCAAAAGTGGAAGACGGCTTTGAAAAGACAGCCCAGAGCACTGGGTTCAGGAAGGCTGGAAGTCTAGGGAAGTTGTTCCTTGGGATTTGGTTCATTGGCACTAGGCCCCTAGAGCCAAGAGAAAAAGCTTGGCTGCTGCTCTGGCTGACGGCACATCCTAGTGTCAGTCACACAGTGCTGGTTTCAGGTGCATGCAGAAGGCAAAGGTTGCAGGGTCAGGAAGGCTTCAAGGCCTAGAAGGCCAGGCAATGTGCCCAAATGGGCAGTGCATGAAGATGTGACAGCAGAGACCCCAGAAGGTCAGAGAAGCTAGGAACATGAATCATCTGAAGCAAACTGCAAGGGGGAGCAGAGCCAGCCCAAGAGAGAGGCCATGGGAGCTCCAGGCAACATCAGAGTAGAGCTACCCAAGCCCTCTGGAGTCCACATCTTGCCATAGATTCCCATAGCTCGTATCTTGCCACAGATGCAGCACATAAACTACAGGACTTAGTGTTTTCCCTGATGGATTTAGGGATCACTGTGGTCCCATTCCTTTGTAACCCCCTTATTTGTACCTTTTGGAGTGGTAGTATTTATCTTGTGCCATTGTATGTTAGAAGTAGTTAACTTTCTTTTTTATATAAGGGCTTACAGCTAAGAGTTTCCTAAAATCTCAGACTTTGGACTCGGGGCTGCTAAGCAATGCTGAAAATGTTAGGACTTTGGCAACTCTTAGAGATGGACCCAATTCATCCTGCATGAAGGGATGTGTATGAGTCTTTGGGGAGATAGGGGTAGAATGTTGTGGCTTACGTCTAGCTGTCCTCCCAAAGCCTCATGAAGTTGTGGGGGTGGCCATTTCAGAGGTGGCTGAATCTAGATTATACGATGTGTGGTTAGTAAATCAGTCCACTGATTGGCCTGGCATAGTTCTGGCTAAGCTGAAGCATGTGAGTGCTACACCCACCCTAGTGCAGGAGGCCTGTATATGATATAAGGGACAGAACGAGTCGTGTCTCTCTCCCTTTGTTTGCTTTTGCTATCTTCTCCATCATGAACAGCTGCCCCTCTGCCACGCCAGTCTGCCTTATAATGAGCCCATTATGGCCTGAAACCTCTACAAACCATGAGCTAAATAAACCTTTCCTTCCTTAACTTGTGGTGTTGGGTACATTGTCTCAGCAACAAGAACAGTTAACTAAGATACTTAGGAAGACAAATCATCATTCAAAAAGTTGGAGCTTTCTCCAGGTATACATTCATACGTACAAGGAGTCTACTGTCCACACCACAAATTGTGACAAAGCAAGGATGCACTGACATATGCTCTGGGCTGTCACCATGCAAGGCTTAAATAAGCCTGAGCCAGTCTCTGTATAGCCTGGTTCTGTCGGTCAACCTAGCCTCAAAGCCCCTTATATCTCAACATTAGAGCTGTGATAAGGCTCCCCAAGGGCAGCGCAGATTTTTCCCCCCTCTATCTGATAAACTAGAGAGTCAGGAGAACCAGGAACCCCAGAGGGAAGGCTGCCCAGCTGTAGTTCAATCCAGTCTTTCTGTGTTGAAAAATAAAACCCAAGAGCCTGATGCACATGGAATGGTACTTTGTACTAAATTGTGAACACAAGACAAAAGCTAGAAGACCAATCTTTAATCCTGTGGCATAAAAAAACAAAACAAAAAAAACTTCAAATAGGTCTCTACTGAGTCAAATGGTTTCTTCCCCAAACTTCAAGGCTTTGAGAACCTCAGCATGAGATTTTATTTGGGAAGAACATCTTGGAAGTATATTAAAATGAATGCACTTTTACAGGGTTAGACTGGATATGAGTGAGTCCTAAATCCAGTAACTGACAGCTTTATGAGAAAGGCTCCAAGCCAGGTGTGGAGTGTAAGCCTGTAACCTAGCACTCTGGAAGGCTGAGCCAGGAGAATCACCAATTTGGATCCCACCCTGGGCACTTAGTGAGACCTTGCCTCAAAAAGAAGAAAAAAAAAAATGACAAAGGGCTGGGGATATAGCTCTCACAACACCACAGGTTCAACCCCCACTACAAGCAATCAGTTAATCAATGAGAAAGCCAAGAAACAAAGGGGCCAGGAACTGGAGCGAGCCATCTCGGAAGCTAAGGCGCATACCCTCTCAGACTTGGGGGAGGGCAAGTTTGGTGCCCACATTGGTTTCAGTTTTCTAGGCTCCAGAATTGTGAGAGAATAAATCTCTGGTTTTAAGCCACCCAATCATGGCTCTTTGTGTGACAGACCCAGAAAACTCATACGGTCCAAACCCTGTAAGCAAAGATCAGGGAAGGGGCCTGGGACTGTTCAGGCCATCTGAATACTCAGAAGACGCAAAATGGCTGAGTAGGGCAATAGAAGACGGCCCTGATTTCTCTGTTCTTCCTGTGATGTGTAGGTCTTGGTCCCCTTCCACTGAATCTGGGCAGGTTCTCGAACTTCCATAAGCTATAAAACATGGCACAGGTAACTGGTAGTTTCCAGTCCTAGGTTTCAAGGAACCAGCAATTTGCACTCTCTGTGCCCAGAACAGTTGTTCCTGGAGTCCAGAGCTGTTGTGTAAGAAAGCCAAGGCCACCATACCCACTGGGGGGCCCTGAGCCACGCCCATGAATCCCACAGAAGCCCCAGACATCATAGAGAGAGACAACCAAACTGAAGTTAAGAAAATGATGTCATTTTAAGATTTCAAGTTTAGGGACAGTTTCTTATGTAGCAATAGGTAACCAGGATAGCTTATGATGCTCAACTTCTAATCCAAAAGCAGAAATTTAAATGGAAGCAGTAGAGCAAATTCAGATCAAAGCAATAGGAAATGATACTGTCCTGGGCGGGGCGGTGCAGAGGTGGTCGGCTCTGGAAGCTATTGTATTTAGCCTTCAACTGAACTGTGCTGGGCTTCTAATCAGAGAAAGAGCAACCACCACAGGGGAGCTCAACTCAAAGCAGAACAAAGATGACTGCGTATTAAATGGAAAAGAATCTGCTGTATGCTGCAGTGC